ATGTCCGAAAATTAGACGTAAAAATCAACCATAAACATATCGAAGAAAGAAACAAGGGTAATTTAAAAATTAAAAAACATATAAAAATAAAAATATTAAAAATTCTTGTGTAACAATTTTCAATTATTTAATAAATATATCATTAAAATTAAAAATTTTCCTTTCTTAGTTTCAAAATTTTTATTTTTATTCGTTAAAATTTAGATAAGTAAAAGATAAAACATGTTTGCAAACACGTAAAAGTAATTTCCAACCAATAAGAAGTCCAGCAGCTAAAGCAAAAATCAGATGTAAACATCCCCACAGATTTCGGTTAGCAAGCTCGTGGATTGGGGTGCTTGCATGAAACGTCAAAGAAGAGCGTGGATACACGTTTTTAAAATAACCATCCGATCATTAACCGTGTGATTCACGAGAGAGAGGACGCGTGGAATGACGTTTCTCACTAGGGCTGAAACAGAAAAAACTGGAATGTTGGCAAGCATCAAAAAGTCGTAGATCAAAGCCACTTAAAGACTCCTGGAAAAGCGTTCGGCAACCACCCTTGGATCAAGAGGGAGAGGGCGATGAATCAAGAATTGGCTGCCACCTGTCCCGCACAACACCACAGGCCTTAGCTTGACCTCTCGCTCTCTCTTCATGCATTCCTGAATTTATTAATTAAGTAATTTTTTGGGTTAAATTGAAATAAAATAATTACTTAGTAGTAGTTGTTTCTCATCCATTGGGCGACATTCAGCCGTTGGACGTATAAACGTTCTATTCAATTGTACCGAGGCCTAAACATCTAACAACTTTGTGCTCGTTACTCCAATGAGCATAACATCCATTTACCAAATACTGCTCGTTGATCAATAGTCATAACAAATGCAGCTGAAGCCTATGCATTACATGTGCCATTTTCATATACACACAATGCTATAAAATTAATTATTTAAGTTATTTTTGAAATAAAAATTTCTGGTCAGAAACAACCTAACTAATTTTTTTAAACTGCCCCACAGAATTTATAATAGCATAAATAATTAAAATTCTTAACAGAAAATCCTGTTTAAAATTGATATTAGTTATTAATAATTGAATATCTAAATTATGGAGTTTGGCTTGTAGTTTTGCCCCCTTCCTCCAAGTTCTTAAGATTACACAGGAACCGACGCTTATTTAATATCGGAAAGTCAAAACTCCAACAAATTAATAAAGAAAGAATTAAGAAAGGAAAAAAAAAAGAATTCTACTTAATATTGCGGAAAGATCAAGTGGATTGACTTTTAATCTAGTCAAGTTAGCACTAATTTAAGGCTTAAGGAATCAATCCTCTAATTTTTCAACACTTGTAAAAGGTATAAAGATCATATGTTGACCTTAAAACCATCCTTTTTGACCCAGTGAACAATCATGGTTCAAGGATTAAAGAATTCGCTTAGGGTGAAAACCCTTAGCATTTTTCACGCTATGGTAACTTGTCATGAAACTTAAGTTAATAGTTTTTTAAACACTTGTTTGGTTTCAGAAAACATTTTCCTTCATTTTCAGATTTTCAAAATTTAGAAAATATGTTTGTTTTACTTTTAATGTTTTCTGTTTTCAAGAAATGATTTAAAATTTTCAGTATATGCATTTTATTTCTAATTTTTTAAAAAAATACCAAAAACTAATTTTTATAATTTTTAAGTTTTACCACTTTTTTATAAAACATTTTTGATAATAACTAAAAATATGGAAATCAAACCCATTTTTAACTTTTTTTATTTTTATTAAAAATAAAAACAAAAAACAGTCAAATATTTGTGTGGTGAAAACTATACGAGGGTGAGCAGGACAACGACCAGTCCGCCCTTGAATGATAGTTCTACCGGCCCTTTCCTTCGCGTGCGCAAGGAAGATGTTGCTTTCGTTGACCGTGGCAGTTACGAAGTTAAAATCCACTGGTATACTGAGATCCACCCCTAAATTACACTTATTATTGTCTTTTTTTTTTTTTTGGTCAAATGTTGCCTCCTATTTTAAAAAATACTACATTTTCAACATATACTAAGACAGTGCGTCACTCGCGTTCCTCTCATCCAACATTTAAAAAATAAAAATGAAAATTATATGAAAAATTACACATATTTTTTATATATATACTTAAGTATCACTTTATATATATATATATATGTATGTATTACGAGGAATGATCAATTAGCACCTAGTGTAAATCCAAGACATTTACGCCACGTCTTATACCATTGATTTGATCAAAATTAACAGATCAGATTAATTTCCAATAACTTTCAATAACTAATTTACGGTATAACTTCCAATAACTAATTTACAGTTATATTTCTTTAATAATTTTCAATAATTTCCAGTAACTAATTTATAGTATAACTTCTAATAACTAATTTACAGTTATCTTTTTTTAATGATTTTGATCCGTTGATTTTGACTAAATTAACGGTATCAGATATGGTGTAAATACTTTGAATTTATACTAGGTATTAATTGATCTTTTCCTCATGTATTAGATATTTATGTAACACAGATGTTTTAAATTTCGAATCTACCGATTGGTTTGACTAGTTTAATCGTGATCCAGTTTCAAAAGAAGTCTGAATGAGACCCTTTAATAAAAATTAAAATTTGATTAGTTAAAACTAATTAAAAATTAGTAAAACTAACTGGTTTTGACTGATTTAAAATAATATATAAAATTTTTTTTGAAACTTGTAATTTAAATTTATTTAATTTAAATTATGTTATATTCATCATGAAATTGAGAGTGTTGTCTCTTTGTAATGAATTTATTAATTAATTTATTTATAGATATTTTTTTTTTATTATCAAATCAGTTTAATCAATGGTCAAATTAGCTAAATTATAACTCGATAATTTTATTGGTTTGATCATCTGTTTAGGTTTTAAAGCATTGAGTGAAATATGTTTAGTTTATTGGTATCTTGAATGTTAAGAATAAGTTCAAGTGTTGGATATAACATTTTTACATAATACAAAATAAAATAATTTAATTTTTTTAAAATATGTTTTTTTCTCTCTTTTGGGCAATTGCCGTTTGGTTTGGATGTGGCATTGTGATTTGATCAAGGGAGTGTTTATAAATATTTTTAAAAAATTAGAAATGAATGTTTTAAATAAAAATGGTAAGAGTTGATTTTAACGAGAAAAAATATATATTTAAAAAATAGATAAAAAGAACTCTTAAAAGTAATAAAATAATATTTATGAGATAAATTTTTATGAAATAATGGTAGAAAATTTTGGAAAAAAATTAAATATTTTACCTTTATCTTTATTGTTATCGTTGTTGTTATTATTATTATTGTTGCTATTTTTGCCTTGCAATTGATTACTACCGGAGGGTGATCCAAGGAGGAGGGTTAAGGACTTGAGTAGATCGACAAGTTCGGCATGAGGCTTTCTAAATTTGTCAGCGGCACCTCATTGGTGGTTTGCCGATTGCCAAAAATCAAAATCATTTGCAGCAAATCCCAATCGCCTACTTTAACAACCATCTTTTCTCTTTCTTATTTTATTTTATTTTATTTTTTCTCCCTTTTCCTTAGTTAGATCACAGTCGAACTCTACAATCACCACCATCGACCTCACCATTGCCACCTCATTGCCACCTCAGGAAGAGCAAACCTGATAAGGCTGCCATTACTAGTCTCCTGGACCCGCTAGTTATGGTTGTCTTGGAGAGTGGCACGATCTATAGGGACTGGGGACAACGGGTCTATGTATAGAGAGAGAGAGAGAGAGTTGTCTGTCGCCATTGCCCTTGCCCTCGGCATCTTTACTTTATTGTCGGTAAAGAAAAGAAAAAGTAAATGAGAGAGAGAGAGAGAGGAGAGAGAGAGAAGGGGGCAAACCATAGCAACTGAGAGAGATGATAGAAGGCAACAGTAAAATATGAATAAATATAAATTTCAGTTAACAAAAGTGTCAAAAAGTCTAATAATACATTTTTTATTTAATTATAAAAATACCATTAAAATTGAAAGCATCTATGCTCTAATTTATGCTTTTTCTTTTGCTTTTATTTTAACTTTTTTGCGTTTCAAAAATTAGAAATAGAAATTTTAAGTGAAGTTTCAAACACTCCTAAAATTAAAAATTCAAAATTGCCTCGAGTTCTGAACAAGCTCTTACTAAAAGCGCACAAGCACCACCTAAGCATCTCGCCGGGCCCTGAGAACATGTCCATTTGTCAATTACATGCACAAGTTCAAACACTCGGATATCACGTGGAGAGGTGATAGTTCAAACAAATGGTAGTTGAACATGTACGTCAGTCAAAGTTATTCGCATTCTTCACCTCTACGTTCAACACTTCAGCTTGGTCCACCTCTGTTCCAAGAACCCGGGTGAAGAAGTGCCCTTGTTTTGCTGGAAAAGTCGTGTCCCACGTTTTTTTTTTTTTCTTTTCTTCAATGGCAAAAGAGCCAACTCAACAGTCAATCGTCATCGTTGCACCCTCGTGCCAAAGGGGAGAGAGAGAGAGAGTACGCACCCCACCCCCCCAAACACACACACACACACACACACACACACACACAAATATATCGACATTCACATATAAACACACACGTTAGAGGGGAAGCAGAAGGCCACCTGAAAATGGAGGTTCCACGGCGGCTGGCTCTTCTCACTTGCACGTTCTTCCTTCTCTCCATGGCCCGAAGCGAAGACCATTTCTACGACTTCTTCGTAAGTTTTAATTATTTATTTACTTGCACAATACAAATCAACATCAAGATGAGCTCCAAATAACTGGAGATGGAGGAATTATCTTTCTTTCTTTCTTTGTTTTCTCCCTTTTCCTCTCTCTCCGTACACTGGCTCATGGAGAGAAAATTACAAAAAGCACCTCTAATGAGATCTAAATTATTGACTGTTCACGTTATCTGTGTGTGTATATATACCGATTCAGCTTACCCGTGGTAAAAATTAGATGTGTAAAAAATTTAAGGCAAATGCCATACGTAGGGATTTCGTTAGAAATGTTTCTGACATTTTGGGTGGGAATGCAGCTAGTGGAGAAGACCTATTGGAGGATATGCAACCACACGATCATTCTGACGGTGAATGGTAGTTTCCCTGGGCCGACCCTCCGCGTTCGCAAGGGGGATACTGCTTTTGTTAATGTTCATAATCACGGGACCTATGGCGTCACCATTCACTGGTCCCTCTCTCCCGCTCTCGCTCGCTCGCTCTCACTCACTGTTTCCCTCTATAATAATGCTTTGTGCAGCCAGCACGACTGGGTCGGAAATTGTTAGTTCAAGGGGGCCTATTTACAATGGACCCAAGTTCAGGGGCATTAATGTCCTCCTCTTTGTCTAAAATCGTTGGCGTGGAACGTGTTACTTTATTAAAAAAATATTTTATATATTTTTAAATTGTTTGATTTACTTTACAAAAAAAATCAGTTTTCTGAATTTAATTTTATTAAATTTCTAAATCTTTTTCTAAATCGTTTCATTTTTTTCATCCTCTAAATAAAATACACTATAAAAAGAATAATATAATCAAATTACATATAATTATATTGAAAAAATAATTAAATAATTTTTTTGAATAAGTCAAATATCACCGATTCTTATTCTTCTTCCTATGTTTATGTGGGGCCAAACCCTCGTCTCCTCAGATCTTAATATTGCAGGCATGGCGTGAAACAACCGAGGAATCCATGGTCGGATGGACCCGACTTCATCACGCAGTGCCAAATTTCACCTGGAACGAACCACACATACAAAGTTATCTTCTCCACCGAGGAAGGGACACTGTGGTGGCACGCCCACAGTGATTGGACTCAAAGCACAGTCTATGGCGCCATTCATATCTTACCCGCCGAGGGCACCACCTACCCTTTCCCTGAACCCGATGGAGAACATGACATTATACTCGGTAAGTGCTGATTTCTTCCTCAAGTTGAACTGGGTGGCAGATGATGCATGTGTATACTCATAGAAAGATCATGGTAGCTCACATTCTTCGTGCATCGTAAGGATTTTTTAATCTGTTTTATTCGAGTTACAGAATTTTGCTTTTCATCCCTGCAATACCCATCATCTTCTACACGTATGGGGTGTGATTCTTGCTTTCACCTGCAAATGCCTGACAACATCGTTGACGAAGTGTTGAACAGAACAAGTGTTCTTGACATTACTGTGAGAAAATCTGAACATTGAGCCGGAAAAGGAAAATTTTCTGGTTTACCTCTAGAGTTTTGCCGACAAGCTTCTTGAGTTAAATTAGGGAAAGTTAATTTCATCTTTTATGAGACGATCGCCAAGTGGAAGCTGTGGGAAAAAGGAGAAAATGTTCAAAAAGTATATGATAAAAAGCTATATAGTTGTTGGAACTTGTGTGTTTTTTTGCCTTTTTTTTCTTTCCAAATTTGAAACTTTGGTGAATGAAAACGAAACTGGCCTAGATGTGCAATGACGTGGAATATTCAATTTAGTGAACTTTGTGGTATCTTTTTGTCGTGATCCAGACTCATTTAAATTAGATAAGATTGCGTAATTATTCTTATAGTTCTTTCTCCAGCAGTTGGTCTTACCTGCCTAGATCTTTATCTTAGCTACTCTTCTTGCTTCTGCAGGGTCTTGGTATAATTATGATGTCAATAAAAAGCTTCATTACGATCTCTATGTAGGAGCAGACTTACCTAGCCCAAATGCTTTTCTTATCAATGGCCAACTAGGCGCTTACTTTAACTGTTCTGCTGGTAAGTTACAATTATGCGTGGGTGGTCTCTGACTAGAATAAATCCTGAAAGAAGAAATTGTAACTGTTTAACCATGATTTACCGCCAGCCAACATTTTACAAGACAAAAATATGCAATTGCTAAAATTTCAAACTGCAATAATTTCTTCTTCTCACCATGACCTGCAGGCATTCGTATTTGATCCAGTAGATTTCTCTATTCTTGTTGCATCCCCATAAAGAAGCTTCAAAGACATTGTTATATGAGATATCATCATTTATTTGACCCATGACTTTGTAGTACACACGACACTTACTATTTTTGCTAGGGTGGAAAAGAAGTTAGGATTCATGAACGCAACATGAGACAGGAAGATTTGGTGTAGCCTTAATCTTGCTTGTATCACAATCTTCTAGTGGCTTATGTTCAACTGGCAACCCAATAATGAACAGTTAAAGGGAGTCGACATGCAGATACACAAAGGCCTACTTAGTAAAATAATAAAGTTAAACATTTTGATACTTGTTAAATGAGGTACTTATGATAGGTGCAAATTTTATTAACTACAATAATGTGTGGACTTTAGAGTGTAATTTTAGATTGAGGCATTGTAAAAGTTTTGAATGATTCGTGCCTTGAGCCCTAACAGATATGAGTATGCTTATCGCTGATAATTCTGTGAAACAGAAGAAATGCATCGGATAATTGTTGATTATGGGAAAACCTATCTTCTCCGCATAATCAACGCAGCCCTTAACTCAGAATTTTTCTTCGCCATTGCTGGACACAATCTCACGGTGGTTGGAATGGATGGGAGCTATCTCAAGCCCTTTATTACAAAATATTTGGTGATATCCCCGGACAAACCATGAATGTCCTACTTGCAACAAATCAGAATCCAAGTCACTACTACATTGCTGGTAGACAATTTGTTTCGGCAGGTAATATTGAAAATGAGGAACCTACTGCAGCAGTCTTAGAATACATTGGCAAATACACACCCCCATCTTCACCTGTCTTCCCATCCAGCCTCCCTGTATTTAGAGACATCAGGGCAGCAAATGCATTTTGGGCCCGTTTAAGGAGCTTAGCCAGCAAAGAACACTCTGTATCTGTGCCAAAACACGTTGACCACCCTATGTTCATAGTTGTTTCTGAGAAGATTATCGCTTGCCCAAATCGCTCATGCGACTCAGATAATGGAAATAGGATTAGTTCATCAATGAACAATATAACCTTTCAGAATCCCATTGCAAATATACTACTTGCCTATTACAGGTACATCTTTCATAGCTTTCTATTGTTTATTATTAATTTATATTTATTCATATTTTTGTTACTTTCCTTGCTTTGTTCTTTCAGAAATCTCAATGTTGGCATGTTTTAAACTGTCAAACAAGCAAGCATGAGATTTTTACAGGAAATGATCTTGAAACAATTGAAGTTACAGTGCATATCAAGTTAAAATATATTACTTTTCCAATATGTGAAGATTATTAGTGGAAGCTTGACCCATGTTATAGGAGAAGGAGAAGGGGAATTGGGTTGGACTGAAGAGGGATGGGCATAATGAGGGCCTGTATGTGTATGATAGAAGGAAAAAGGGTAGTTGAAGGGGTAATGACAGATAGAATTGCAACTAATGAAGAGAATAAGTTAGTGGAGGAGTTGGTTAGAGGAGAGAAAGAGAAGCATCACAAAACAGACATATGGCAGCATATGAATGGGGAGGCTTCTGGCATGATGGGAAAGAGAGAGTTGTTTGTACATAGGGAGAGTGTAAGGGTAGTGGAGAGGCATAACAAAAAATTGGGCAACATTTGGTGGCCAATGGCCTGGTTGAGCAGTCCCCGGGTATCTATCTTTTCTTGTTTTCTATCTATTTTGCTACTATTTTTGTGTTTTCCAAAGGATTTCCTTTGTTTTAAGGAGCTGAGCTTCTTTGTGTGGATAAATAATACGTAGTGAGTGCCAGTTTTTATCAATTATAAAATGGAAATTGCCCATCCAAGCAACTGATGCAGTTTTAATACCTTCATGCAGGAACATAAGTGGGGTTTACACTCCTGATTTTCCAGACTTTCCAGAGGTTTTTTATGACTTCACAGATCCTAATTTGTCTAACAATTATACTGTACCATCCATAGCAACCAAGGTGAAGATGATTAACTTCAATGAAACAGTGGAGATAGTATTTCAAGGGACTGATACTGTTGGAGGGGCACAGGATCATCCTGTACATATGCACGGATATAGTTTTTATGTGGTTGGATTTGGACTTGGGGATTTCAACAATGAGACTGATCCAAAATCCTATAATTTGGTTGATCCACCTGAATTGAACACAATTCGGGTTCCTAAGAATGGATGGGTTACAGTGCGGTTCACAGCAAATAACCCAGGTATGTTCTCAATTGATGGTGCGTTAATCTGATAGACCTAGGCATCCTGGATCCAATTCGTCTTGATAAAAATTTATTTGTTTTCCTATGTTTCTGTGAAGTCAGTCTTCCATTATGCACCAATATTGTGTTATATGTTGATATGTGAGTAAGATGTTTCGAATCTAATGCGGAATTAGACTTCCTTGAAATGATTTGTCTTCATTTTTCAATTCTTTTGTTAACTGCCACATTGCAATTGTAAATTGTAATATAGCAAAATGTTTAGTGAATACTCATTTCTATCAAGAGACGATCATTTGCCAAAATAATTCTGAAAATTCCCCCAACGAGAACCATATGAAGAAAAGGGGATGGAAAGGTGAAAGAAAGGAAACTGTCTGTATGGTTATTTAATAGATGATCTAGCAAGGCCAAAATCCAAGCCCCTCCTGATCTGACTAAATTTGTATGAACATTTGATGTATTTCATGGAGCAGATCTGTTGGGTAAACTAAACTACAAAAAGATTGGATGGCATAGATTAAACTATAGTAACTTTTGAATTGGACTTATATTTATTTATTGTAGTTTTGTGGTGAACAGGGGTCTGGATGTTGCACTGTCATTTGACTAAGCATCTTACCTGGGGCATGAAAACTGTTCTCATAGTGTTGAATGGTGACACTCCTGAGACAAGTATCCTTGATCCCCCTCCCTCGATGCCTTCTTGCAACTTTTCATTCGTGAACTACATCCAGAAGTTCAAACATTCGGATGTCGTGCATCCTGTTGAGATAATTGGAATGTGAAAAAATTTCTTCTTTTTGATTTACCCTGGCCCAGATATCTATGCATGTATTGGTTGCTTTATTAACGGCCCAAGGATTGTGGTTGGGTAAATAAGAACAAATGTGAAAACCCGTGATTCAGTCTTCGTGTATGTTTGAATGAAAAACTGCCCCGAGATAATTCTGGCGTGTGAGACATAATGATTTTGTTAGGTGAGAGGAAAGGCAAATTGAAATTTTGGTTTTTGCTTTTGAGTAACTTCAAGTTTTAGGCATTTTCTTTTCTGTAAGATAGAAAAATTCGATTGAAATTAAAAGTGTTATTGCGTAACTGTAATACCCCTAAATTAGGGGTATTTATGAAAGATAAAAACTTAAGGACTAATTCAAACAAATCAAAACAGTTAGGGACCAAATCAAAGAAAAATCAGAAGATAAGGGATTAAATCGCAAGGAATCAGAAAAATCGGGGACCAAATCGAAGTTTTTACGAAAAAAAGAGATCTAAAATCAGATCATTCCCAAATCCATCAGATCCCGTGGATGTGAATCACCAAGATTCGAACTAATCAAGCAAGATCTCTTGAAATCAATAAATAATACACAAGAGAAGATGAAGAAGGAAGCAATTACTCAAGTCAATTTCAACATATTGACTCTGAAACTCGAGGAATCTTCCTTTCTGGTTCGTCACTGCCGAAGGGAGAAGATCTGGAAAATTCGTGAAGATTTTCACGAATTGAGCGACGAAGCTTCATATCCAGGAGTCGCCTAACTCGTTTGAACACGTCTGCAGGGTTTAATTCCATAAACTCACGGGCATTCCAGGTAATTTGCTTGATTCTGTCAACAAAGCTCCGTAAGTAGTTTGGGCTGTATTCGGGTTTAGAAGGAGCGACCCGGACAGAGTCTGGGTCCGGTGAAGGTTTTGGGCCTTATTTGGGCCAAGTTTAAAAAAAAAAAAGAAAAAAAAAAAAAAAAAAAAGGGACTTAATTTGGGACGAGGCCCAATGGATCAGTCCAATTCTGTTAAGCGCGGGTATGACCGCAGCCCTGAAAACGAGAACACGGGATCCAAGTTAGAAAAAAATAATAATAAATAAATAAATAAATAGCAATTAACGAAAACCAGCCGGTTCATGAAGAATTTGGCCGGTTTTCCACCGGTTCAGGGGTAGGGTAGTTAGGAAACTTAATAAGTTAATTATTTAATTTCTGAGTTTATTATTTTTATGTTTATTTAAGCCCGGTTCAGGGCATTTTAATTAAAAATATATATAGAACCGGCCGGTTCAGTAGAAACCAGGTCGGTTCACTTGGTTTTTGACCGGTTCATTCCCGGTTCATTATATGACAGCATAGGTAATTAATTAAATTAATTATTTAAGACTTGGTTCAGCAAAAATAATTGACTTTTAAGGCCGGTTTAAGGCAAAAATATATTAAACCACCGGTTCAACATTCTAAAGGCCAGTTTAGTGCTCTCTTGGGCCGGTTCAGTGCTTTTTAAACCGATTCCAAGTAAATTAAATGTTTTGAAAATTAAAATATGATTGGCTTGGTGGGTTTAAGCTCGGTTCGTGGCCGGTTCATTCTCCTAATGACCGGTTCATTATCGGTTAAGCTTATAATGGTTGATTCATCGTCGGCTCACTTTATTAAATGATTGTTTAGGGTTTAAAAAAATACTGATTTGACATTTGAAAGGGAATGGTTGAAGACATTTATACTTGGTTCGTGAAGAATTTGACAGTTCGGGACTTAAATGATTATAGTAAGGGGGCTTGGGCACGCAAACCTATAAATTTGGTTTACTTTTAAATTTGCATTGTTATTATCAAAAATATAAATTTAGTTATACTATTATTTCCTGATTCTAGATCGATCGCCTGATTCTAGTTAAGCTGTGTCGTCAGGTGTCAGATTTCTCGGTTTCATCGTGCTGTGAGTAATAATGTGTATTTATGAGCCGTTCTGTTTTCCATATTTAAAATAAATCTATTTTTATTATATACCTGTTTTTCTGAAAAGTCTGATTTAAATTCTGCTAAATTATATGGCATGTAATTTCTGAATTTGTTTTGGAAACTTGTTTGTTATTTATATCTGATTCAGTTTTATATTAGTAAATGGAATTATTCAGTTAACTATTCTGTTAAATCTGGAAAATATTATTTTGAGGGAGTTTCGGATATTTAAACACTGCAGCTGACGGCGGTACACGTTAGCATGATTTGCACCCCGTACAGGTCCCATCTAGCAGGGGTGACAGTGCTAGATATTTCAGGGCATATGTTGCCATTCAGTTATCAGGACATGTGTTGCCATTTCAATTTTCAGGGCATATGTTGTCATTCTGTTATTCAGGGCATATGTTGCCATTCAATTATCAGGGCATATGTTGCCATTTTGGTTACCCAGGCATTTTTGCCATTACCAGCTGACTGTGTATCGCTGCTTTGATTATCAGCTAACTGTGTGTCACTGTCTTGGTTATCGGCTGACTGTGTGTTACCGTTTAGTTTCCCGATATATGTTATGTTCGGAATTACGAATTCCCTAAATGATGGAAAGTGTTTGAAAAATAAATATGTTTTAGTAAATTACCTGTTATAAACTATATGCATGTCCTTTGATCTTGTAAATGCGGATTATTATTCACTGGGTCGATAGACTCACCCTTATTTTTTTCCAGATTTTGAGTACGCTGATCCAATAAACCCTGCTTGCTGAGAGGAGTCCGTGTCATCAGCTAGATTTTTCTGTTCATAGTTAGTGATTTTGATTTATCAGACTTTGTATTCCTGAGATTCTAGTATGCTCCATTTGACTACAGACAGAATTCTGTTTTGTGTTTGACATTTCAGTTAATGTGTTTTGGATTTTATTTGAGTTATATCAGATTTTATGTTTTTTAGTTAAATTCAGTGTTTCTGTCAGCTTGCATGGGTTGGGATTTATTCTGACTCTTGCGCCGGTCACGTATTCGATTTTAGGTCGTGACAGTAACACACTGATAATAAAGTGCTAAAACTTATATTTTTAAAAAGTTAATCAAACCAAATTACTGATAATAACATACTAAAACTTATATTTTTAAAAGTTTACCAAACCAAATTACTTTTTAGAGTTTGGTTCAGTTTTAAATCACTGTTTATTGATATTTATAAAGATATAAAATGATAATATTCCTATATATAAAAATAAAATATATTTAATAATTCAACATCTCAACTTGAACTTTACATAAGCAAAATTATTTTTTCATTAAATTTCTCAAGTATTTGTAGTGGTATCAACAAATAGTTAATATCATTTATATCAAAATTATAGTATCATGTTTTTAAAATTCAATCTCACATGCATAATGTGTTGCAGTAACATTAGAGAAAAAAACTCTCTTTCTAGATTTTCTTTGGTGATCCTCCATTTGTCATTCATTTAATTGCATATATATACTTATATTTATGTATATTTATTTAAAACAAATATTTATACATATACAATTTAAATTTATTTGTATAATTTAATTTGATTTAGTACCTCACACCATAAAATAATGAAACTGAACCAAATTAAAATTTGATTTAATTTAATTGATTTATACAGTTAATTCTGATATTTTGAACACCAATAAACCACCCATTAAGTTAATATTTTATTATCAATTTTTCAATATATGAAGGGGTGCATGAGATTTAATTCAAATTCTAACTAAATAATTACTGTATGTTTAAAAAGATAATAGTAGCATAAAAATAAAAATCAAAAGAATCTGAAATCAACGACCAATTTTACACAAATTAGTATTTATATTTTGGAAGAAATATCAAATTTTACATCCTAAAAATGAAATCACAAAACCAACTCTCTCCTTTATTTTTTCTATTTTTGTTTTTTGTTTTCCCACGTAACCAAACACCCCTTGTGAATTGAGCACAAGGTATGATGTACTATTAATCAATTTGTACACGCGTGCGTACGTAGTGTTTTAGATTGAAAACGACGTGCATACAATTGGGCTTTATCATTCTCTTTGCTGTCATTTCAAGGCTGCTGGAATACATGGTTCTATTCGAATGAAAGGCACCCGTGTTTAGAACACGTTCTTGTCTTTTTGGAAAATTCTTTTGCATAATACATTTAGAAAAAAATAATTCAAGCATAAATTATTAAAAAAAATAATATCTTTTAGAAAGACCTCGTCCTTTATCTCTCTTAAAAACTCAATCCTAATCTATTCCTCGTTCATTAACCAATCTCTTTTACCATCGGTGTCAAACTTGGCAATAACAATAATAATAACGATGATAATAATAATAACAATAATTATAATGAGGTGAGGTAAAGCTCAATAATTGATTAATTAGAGTGGATTGAACTCTTTTTATGTCAATTCATTAATTAGTATGGGAAGAAAGCTTATATTTGACATTATGAATTAACTCATTGGGTTAGCATTCTAACAACAGTTAGTATACAATATTAATTCTCATATTAATCTAATAGATATTATAATCTCTGATCCAGTAAGTAAAAATCTAGTATCAATTAAATTAGGAGAAATAATCTAAAAATATCACGACTTAAACTTGTGCCCATGACTGGCACCAGGGTCTATTAATCTTAGTCAGTCTCACAGCTAGGGATGTAAATGGGTTAGGTTCGGCTGAAATATTGAAGTACCCATATTCATATCTATATCCATTTAAATACCATTTATTCATACATAAATCTACATCCATATCCATTTAATAAGTAATTTGGTATGTAACATAATCATAGAAATAAAGAGATTTCAAAACAATTACAATTTTTTTCAAAATTTTAAAAGTTAAGAAAGGATTATTTTTTTAACAAAAATGGATAGTTTTAATTCATTAATTGCAATGAGAAAAGTTAAGAAAAGTCAATATTGTTTAAGAAAAAAAACCTTTAAAAGTACATTTAAAAATTTACAAATTATCAAATATTTAGTTTTGAAGTGTTAAGAAGTACTATTAAAAAATATTATCTATTTT